TACAGGAAAGCTAGAGGGAATTTAAGTTTCACTTTCGGAATGAAATACTAGGTTAGAAGTCACCTACTCTATTTCTCACCCAAGCAAAAATCTCTAAAACTTACTCATTAGATGAATTTCTAATCTTTATTTAAACACCTCCACACTTCCAATGAAAACAAACTGACATACAAGACAGTCCTTAATACCTTTGGATAATTGTGGATGATAGGAACTTCTTATTTGACCTGAATTTGCCTAATTCACACTTACTGGCCATTTTTTTCACTGTAACTATATAAAATAAATCTTCCTCTTCTACATGAAATCTCTTCAAATGTTTGAACAAACCTATTGGTTGTTACTGAATTATTATCTAGAATAAATCACTTTGTTTCCTTTTCTAGATCCGTAACATCTTGTATACTCTTCTGGTTATGTTAAAATGATTAATGCCCTTTAAAAGTGTGACTGCTTAGGGGTGCCTGGGTGGCCCAGTCGGCCAACCCTTGATTTCAGCTCAGGTCATGATCTCAGGGTTGTGAGATCAAACCCCACAACAGGCTCTGGGCTGGGCAGGGAGCCTGCGTAAGATTTTCCCTCCCCTTCTGTCCCTCCCTCCCCCACCCTCCCTTAAAAGAAAAAAAGAAAAAAGCTTTAACTGCCTAGGGCTGATTACAGTACTTCAGTGTGGTAGGCCCATTACAGAGCACAATAGAACTAGGGTCTTGCTCTGGACATCTGCTTCTAGCAAGTAATCTTTAGGACTATTTTAACATCTTGTCCTTATTTTACTGCTGACTTATGTTGACTGAAACCCTCAGACTTTATATTTTAACTGCTTTTAAGCACATCTTATCTATGTTTTTGTGCAGTTGACTTTTCAAAACATTCAGGGTTTAACTTTTATGTCAAATATGACATAACTTATTCCATTTCAGAAAATCATTATCAATTTCAGTCTTGATCCTAGTACTCAGTGGACACTATTCATTCATACCAATTTTAGCCATCCACTTGGATGGGCAGGCTTACAGGCTTGTTTCAGGTCATCAGTAAAACGGTAAACAGACCATCTCTTGGTACTGGTCTCCCTCTCCCTCTGCTTTAGTCACCCTAGCCGTTTTTTATTATCTCAAAGGCACCATGCTCCTTCCTACATTAGACACTTTCTATAACCTCTGCCTGCAATGTCCTTTCCTCTCCATGCCTCTGCCCCTATTTGGTTAACTCTAACTGATCTCAAATAAAATGTTGTTTGCCCAAGGATTTCCCTGACACAACACTAGGTCAAGCCTCCCTTTTATAGGCTTTTGTAGTACCCTGTACTTGTTTGACTTAGCTTTTCTCATCTTATAATTATGTATTTATTGGTGTGATTGTTATCTCTTCCCCACTGTATCATATGCTCCATGATGGCAAGAACCATGTTTCTTTTGCTCACTATCGTATCTCCATGGCCTTAAAAAGGCCATGTACAGCAGTGGTTCCCCAACTCCTGATGATGTTTTTATACGTTTGAATTAGAACAAGAAAAACAAGGACAAAATGTACATGTACATGTGTAGTATATGTCAGTGTGAAGTTACTGCCTTCTTGGGAAAGACTTATTTTAATATTCTTCTACTTTTCAAATTATAAATGGTTCATTTTAAATTTTTTGTTAAGTTTTGGGGATATTTTGCCTATTTTTGGAAACTATCTTGACTCAGAATAAAAATAAATGTGCAAACCATGGTACTTTGATATTTTACTAGACTGTGAAACCAGAAATCACAATGTTGAATACCCTAGAGACCATCTCTAAACTAAGATCTTTCTCTTTGGATACAGTTGCTATGAATCCACTTGGCTATATTTAAAATACATAATTTCGCCTTAGGAGATTTTTTTGGTGACCTGGGTCTTCCTCAACAACTTCCTTTCATTTATCTCTGTAATGTAATATTTATCGTTGCCAAGTAGGCTCAGATTCAAAACAGTAATTGTTGGGTTTTCTTTTTTACTATAATTGTACTTTTCCTTTATTTAATGTGACTAAAAGAATAAATCTCAAATACAGTAACTTAAATTTTAATACCAAAAGCAAATTTACATATTTATGGTTACTGAGATCTCTTATTGTGAATGGTTTTATATTTTAGAGTTATACATATTTTATATTTTAGAGTTAGAGTTTTATTATTTTTTAATAAATAATAAAGCAGACTTCCTGGCAAACTTTTTCTATAAAATTATAACTATTTAACCTGCTTTATATGACTGTTAATTTGTGTACAATAAAAATGATAGTTTTTGGTGAGTCGATAAAATGGAATTTCTTGGGGAGGTGGATCAGATTTTTTTTTAATTGTAATTCTTTTTTCTTCTTTTTTTTAAGATTTATTTATTTATTTTAGAGAAAGAGTGCATGTGCGAGCGCATGCCCTCACATGCAGGGGCTGGGGGGGGGGCGGCAGAAGGAGAGAGCATCTCGAGCAGAGTCCCTGCTGGGGAGCCTGGGGCAGGGCTGATCTCGCCACCCTGAGAAAATGACCCCAGCCGAAATCAAGAGTTGGCAGCTCAGTCAACTGAGCCACCCAGGGACCCTGCTTTTTTCTTCTTCTAACTTTGTATTACAAAAAAACCCTATTAGCTATGTGACTTTGTTACTTTGACCTCTCTGTGCTTGTTTCTTCATCTATTAAATGGTTATTATGGGGTTATGAATGACTGAGTTCGTAAATACATGTAAAGTGCTTAGAAGATTGTGTACTCAGAAGATCACAATGGGAGTGATCACAAGTATTAGCTGCTTTTACTATTAGTAGTAGTATTTGTGCTGAATAGAGATTTTCATATTAAGTTACAGAATAAGTCAGCATAGACAAAAATACTAAAACTTTATTTTCTATTTTTTTTTAAAGATTTTATTTATTTATTTGATAGAGAGAGACACAGGGAGAGAGGGAACACAAGCAGGGGGAGTGGGAGAGGGAGAAGCAAGCTCTCAGCTGAGCAGAGAGCCTGATGCGGGGCTCCATCCCAGGACCCTAGGATCATGACCTGTGCTGAAGGCAGATGCTTATCGACTGAGCCACCCAGGCACCCCTATTTTCTATTTTAATCCCATTCTCAATACTTGATATTCTGATAAATCATTATTTACCAAGGAAAAAACTTTGTAGAATAAACACATTCAATTCTTTCCTAGCCATAATCATAACCTTACATCTTTCAAGACTTCAGGTGTTAAGTAAATGTTTTGTGATTACATTTTTAAGTCAATTCGATAACTTACTGATCTATACTATACTTATTTATAGATTATTAAAGTAGTGATCTGACCTTTTAACTAAAATATCACCTTCATACTTAGAAAACAAATTATATAAACTCTTAAGTTTAAAACACCTGGAGAAGTTAGAAAGTGAAAGTGCTCTTTTTTTTCTAAGCAGAAAATGGGAGGTGGTTAAATTGTCCAATATTTTAATTTTCTTAGGTTTTCAAACCAAAAACCTGTTCAATTTGCATATATTTTACAATTAAAAGTAAGTTGCACATTTACAAATAAAGTAATTCAACAACAAATGTTATTTGGCTGATGTAATTATATCATGATTATATATCTTGGTGTATCATAGTGCTCAAGAATATGAACAATAGAATCTGAAAACGTGGGGCGCCTGGGTGGCTCAATCATTAAGTGTCTGCCTTCGGCTCAGGTCATGATCCCAGGGTCCTGAGATCAAGCCCGGCGTCGGGCTCCCTGCTCCATGAGAAGCCTGCTTCTCGCCCTCCCACTCCCCCTGCTTGTGTTCCCTCTCTCACTGTGTCTCTCTCTGTCAAAGAAATAAATAAAAGGAAAAAAAAGTCTGAAAACATAAGTTCAAAGTTCACTTCAACCACTTACCATTTTAGGTAAGTTACTTAGCTCTATTTCCTTATCTGTAAAAATTGGAATATAATAATGCCTACCTCTTAGGGTTATTGTAAGAAATAAATGTGGTAATATATGGGAAGCCCTTAGTTAGTAGTCTGACACATGGTAAGTAGTCAGGAAATGTTGGGGAAATTAAGTAAACAAGCTTCCTATTAAATACAAGCACTTAAATGCCTGTGGCCTGTGTGTGTGTGTGTAATGGTTTTGAGTTGGCAAAAAGAGGAATTAGACATTACCACCCTATCGATAAGTGAATCCTGTTTTTTCATTTGCTATCTGATCTTAAAAAATAGAAATATAGGGGCACCTGGGTGGCTCAGTTGGTTAAGCATCTGCCTTTGGCTCAGGTCATGATCCCAGGATCCTGGGATTGAGCCCTGCATCAAGCTCCCTGCTCAGCGGAGAGCCTGCTTCTCCCTCTCCTTCTGCTGCTCCCCTTGCTTGTGCTCGCTCTCTCACTCTGTCAAATAAATAAATAAAATCTTTTAAAAAATAGAAATATAAATCTTTACTTCAAAAATATAGTGATTTAGGGGGCGCCCGGGTGGCTCAGTTGTTAAGTGTCTGCCTTTGGCTCAGGTCATGATCCCAGTGTCCTGGGGTCAAGCCCCACATCGGGCTCCCTGCTCCGTGGGAAGCCTGCTTCTCCCTCTCCTACTCCCCCTGCTTGTGTTCCCTCTCCCGCTGTGTCTTTCTCTGTCAAATAAATAAATAAAATCTTTTAAATAAATAAAAATATAGTCCTTTAGGGACGCCTGGGTGGCTCAGTCGGTTAAGTGTCTGCCTTCAGCTCAGGTCATGATCCCAGGGTCCTGGGATCAAGCCCCACATCAGGCTCCTTGCTCATTGGAGCCTGCTTCTTCTGCCTCTGCCGCTCCCCCTGGTTGTGCTTGCTCGCTCGCTCTCTCTGTGTCAAATAAATAAATAAAATCTAAAAAATCATTAAAAAAATAAAAATATAGTCATTTATTCACCTTAGACTCATTTAAGTCTACTGAACTCTCAACGGTATTCCCAGTTTTTCTTATTTTCTTGAACGGATGAGTATATTGCTGTTTTTATAGTGTATATAAAAGTAACTTTTGTATATATTTGACAGGTAACTATGTGAAGCAACACTGTTTCTGGATTTCAAGACATCCTTTCATCATGGGACAGCAAATTTCAGATCAGACACAGTTGGTTCTTAACAAGTTACCAGAAAAAGTAGCAAAACATGTCACATTGGTTCGAGAAAGTGGCTCCTTAACTTATGAAGAATTTCTTGGGAGAGTAGCTGAACTTAATGATATGTAAGCCTTGCTGTTTTTCATTTTATTTTTTCTTCCTGACATATGCCTCACATGCCATAACTGTCTAAGAGGTAACCAGAAATACTGATGGGTAAGACTGAATGTTTCAGCAGCAGTTAGTAAATATATATTGAGTACCTGCTACAAGACTTGCTATGTGGCTATTTTAAAACATATAATAGGAACAAAGAAACCAAACGAACTTAAAATTGAATTTTAGACATAGGCTTATAAAGTGATTCTTGTTTGAAAGAACTAAAGGGATGCATAATAGAAGAGAATAAGCCAATTAGCCACTCTAGAAAAAGGTTCCTAGGATAGTCAAAGGACACTCAGGTTTCTATATATCAAACAATTCATCTGGTTAATAAATAAATCTTCTGTGTTCACTGAGCATTATTTTTGCCAGAAAAAAACATAAATAGTAATAATTCCCTGTTGTCACCACTGAAGAATAAGGTATTTTGTTTATTAATATTTTCTAATTGGCTACCATCCTTAAATCTCTTTAACACTTGAATAGATTTCTAAGATGGAATTTAAATTTCTCTGCCTTCTTTAAAGTGCATATCTAATAGAACTATGCCTTTTCTCTGTGAATATATTCTTTATTATATCAATTTTTATACTGATCTGTGTAGAAGCTAATAAAATAGAATCTACTCTTATTATCCAGTCATGAAGAATAAAGAATGTCTTAAAAGTTAGTTATCTTAGAAGATAGTTTCTTTTAGAAACATTGGATTTCCTCTGAAACTAATAATACATTATATGTTAATTAATTCAATTTAAATTTTAAAAAAAGAATTAAATAAAAAGAAAATTGGATTTCATTCATTGAATGAAAGAGAAAGAAAGAAGGAAAGAAAGAAAGATAGATCCTATATGGATATATGAATGGATCCTATATGAATATATATATGCATTCATAGAAAATGAACTGTAAGTATACACACTATGTTTCTGGGAAATTGTTGGAAAAGGGGGCAGTGAAGGGAGACTGTACATCTTACTATGTATATCTATATATTGTCTGATCTTTTATAATAAAAATATAGTCATAAAACTCTAGCATTTTACTTTTTTCTTTTTTTAGATTATCCAAAGGGTAGTATTTAAGGCATTACTTCTGGGACCATATTCTTAAGGAGTAAAAATGGATTAAGAATTTAATAGTATCATGAATGGAATGCTTTTTTAGGTTTATTGTTTTGACTCTTATGAAGAGTAATCATTTACATTTGCCATCCCTTTAGAGTCTTGGAACTTATATACATAAACCATCTGTTTAATAAATTTTTGCCTTTTGGCCTAAAAATACCAGATAAATATGTCATATGAAAGGATGCACAAGCTAAGCTTACTGTGTAATACAGAAATGATGGTAAAGAACATCTTCCTTTTATTTATCTAGCATGGGACGTTGACTGGATTTGGTTCTTTTTTTTTTAATTTTATTTTATATGTTAATCACCATACATTACATCATTAGTTTTTGATGCAGTGTTCCATGATTCATTGTTTGTGTATAACACCCAGTGCTCCATTCAGTACATGCCGTCTTTAATACCCATCACCAGGCTAACCCATCCCCCCACCCCCTCCCCTCTAGAACCCTCAGTTTGTTTCTCAGAGTCCATAGTCTCTCATGGTTCATCTCCCCCTCCGATTTCCCCCTCTTCATTCTTCCCTTCCTACTATCTTCTTTTTTTTTTTAAACATATAATGTGTTATTTGTTTCAGAGGTACAGGTCTGTGATTCATCAGTCTTACACAATTCACAGCGCTCACCATAGCACATACCCTCCCCAATGTCTATCACCCAGCCACCCCATCCCTCCCACCCCCCCATCACTCCAGCAACCCTCAGTTTGTTTCCTGAGATTAAGAATTGCTCATATCAGTGAGGTCATATGATACATGTCTTTCTCTGATTGACATATTTCACTCAGCATAATACCCTCTAGTTCCATCCACGTCGTTGCAAATGGCAAGATTTCAGTTTTTTGATGGCTGCATAATATTCCATTATATATATATATATGCCACCTCTTATCTATTCATCTGTCAATGGACATCTTGGCTCTTTCCATAGTTTGGCTCTTGTGGACACTGCTGCTATGAACATTGGGGTGCACGTACCCCTTCGGATCACTACATTTATATCTTTGGGGTAAATACCATTTGGTTCTTAAAACTGATTTCAGTGGGTCAGAGTTGGGCATTTCACAAGGGCAATGCTGTCTGAGAACTATAAAGTTAAACCTATACAGAAGAAGCATGGCTTGATAGCTAGAAAACAACTGGGAACTGGCACAGATGAAATACTTTCACTGGCAGACTTTGCTACCTAGGGCTAGTTGCTTCATTTTCAGTGGGCTCTATTTAGCTGTATGTCATTTAGTTCCAAGGTGATACCTCCCTTGGTGCTCAGAGAGAAATTTGACTAATGATAAAAGGGAGTCACAATTGGGGCACCTGGGTGGCTCAGTCGTTAAGCGTCTGCCTTCGGCTCAGGTCATGATCCCAGGGTCCTGGGATCGAGCCCCACATCGGGCTCCCTGCTCTGCGGGAAGCCTGTTTCTCCCTCTCGCACTCCCCCTGCTTGTGTTCCTTCTCTCGCTGTGTCTCTCTCTGTCAAATAAATAAATAACATCTTTAAAAAAAAAGGGAGCCACAATATTTAAGTATATCTTTGATCTAATTTAAATTGGCATTAATGGGAAGATATTGAATTATCTTCTAAAAGTTTTATTTTTATGCTAGAATCCTATGGCTCTCTAAATTAAAATTACTCTGCTGGAGGAAGACAGCAAAGCTGTATTTAAGGTGTCTCAAAATCATTTGCTTTGATCCAGTCCCAAATTATTAAAAAAATTTTTTTTCAAAGAGGTGTGTGTTGTTGCTTAAATTAGAACTCAACCAAGAGCAAGATTTTTTCACATTTTATACATCCGAGGCAATAGTCAAAATGTGGATAAGTGAAACCAGCTAAACTTTTTAAGTACCTGATTCCTTGGACATGTTTTTTCTAGATGTCTTTGTTAAGCATTTAAAAACCATTGAGATAGAACATAAAAAGATTTATAAATATCATTCTGTGAGCTATGCTGTTGATGTTAAAAACTTAGTTGTATGTTTATAATCAAAACATTCTCTATCCCTGTGTTTTAAGAATCTATTACGATCATTATTGGTTTTTGTCTCTGTATTTTCTTCAAATTTTCTTCTCTGTTTTAAAGTGTTTCTTGAATCTGGTTTCATACATAGCTCCATTATTTTATAAGACTTTTCATAAAATTAACAAATGTGTTTTCTCTTTTCAGAACTGCTAAAGTGGCTTCTGGCCAGGAAAAACATCTTCTCTTTGAGGTACAGCCTGGGTCTGATTCCTCTGCCTTTTGGAAAGTGGTTGTACGTGTGGTCTGTACCAAGGTGAGAATGATAGAGACTTCCAACTCCGAACTTAAAATCTTTTGGTGATTAGAGCCCCATTTAATAGTGTGGTATAGTAGAAATTAATGTTAATAATTAGCAAATTGTTTGCTAAAACATTTGTAAAGCTGAGGAAGACACAGTTTTGTTAGTGTTATTGCCTTCCAGGTGAACTGTTTGAATCTCATTGGTTATATAGTTGCCATATAGCAGAGATTTTTATAATAAAAGGAGGTGGTAGTGACCTCTTATCCTTCTACCTCTCTTTTCGTATTTTAGCTGGCTATGGAATCCTAAGGTAACACCCTACTTAGCTCTAAGCTGACTGCTTAAAAATTAATCTTAGGAGATCATTTCTTTTAAGAAGAATAGTTTCATTCACTTAATAATTTAAAAATCCATTAGAAAGATTTGGGTATTTTTAGGTTTTGTGTTTTGTGTGGTTTTGGTTTGTTTTTGTTTTTAGAAATTTTTAGTTAGGGGCGCCTGGATGGCTCAGTTGTTAAGCGTCTGCCTTCGGTTCAGGTCATGGTCCCAGGATCATGGGATCGAGCCCCACATCGGGCTCCCTGCTTAGCGGGGAGCCTGCTTCTCCCTCTCCCACTCCCCCTGCTTGTATTCCCTCTCTCACTATGTCTATCTCTGTCAGATAATAAATAAAATCTAAAAAAAAAAAAAAAAGAAACTTTTAGTTATAGAATGGATTTTTCATCATCAGTGCACTGCCTTTTAAATTTTAGATAATTGAATATATCAGCTATGCTAAAAAATATAATGGCAGCTGTAATAGAGTATGAGTAAGACTCATCCACCAATGGTAGATTAGATAGGTGGTTATTAACCTTTCTGAGGCCACAAAACTTTTGTTGAAATGAAGGAATGAATTTTACTAGGCCTTCTCCTACCCCAACTCCTGCCCTAAAACAAACAATAAAACCACCCATGTGCATGTAAACAATAAATTAAGCATTCATGAATGCCCTGAATTCCATTCCTGATCAACCCATAAAGAACTACTGAGTAAGGATATTTTTTCTTTTGTGTCGTGGACCCCGGGGTTTACCCAAATAATATGCCATGTTTTCCCAGTGGGTTGATTGCCAGTACTATGCTTTAAGTGTAGAAGGATTGATTATGGATATTTTATCAAATTAGACATTCTAATCAATTTAAGTAGTAAAAGAACTTTAAAGAGTTGAGAGAAGCAAAGACAGAGATATTAATTCCAGCTTGGCTAAGTGCCTGAAGGTGAATGGCACTTGTTGAAGTTTACAGTTGATTTAGAGAGAATACACAGCATAGTTTAATACCATTCAGCTGAGTCTATCCACACTAAACATTTACTTAGTTGATTATTTTTAAAAGTCCAAATGTTAAAGAGCAATTTAATAGCTGTCAAAGAACCATCATTAAACATTTTTGCATTATGTATCACAGAGGTAGCTCATGTAGTACTAGTGTGGGCAGCAATGTAACTTTATGCTGTATAATGTGTTACAAATCATAGTAACAGAACACACATTGAAATACTGACAACTTGATCCAATATCCTGGATTATTTATACTTTGATTCCTAGACTCAAAACTTGTATACCAACCACATATTTTTTCCATTTTCTGGTTTTTTGCTGGTTTTGTTATTGGGTTTATATTTATGTTAAATTCATTAGGGTTTTTTCTTTTTACAGTGTTATAAATACACATACTCTCAAAAGAACTCTGGGAATCTGCAACTTTTGACTTTGCAAAGGAATAAAGTAAAGAAGAAATGAAGAACTGAGCTAAAAACTTGTAAAATCCATTCAAATGGGCTCAGTATCTCCCATACCCCCATCAGCTGCGAATTTACACTGCACATAATGTTCAGGACTATTTGAAAGTCAACTTCAAAGGACACAAGGGTGAATTTATAAGAACTCTAGTCACAAAGGTTGTTTCTGAAAAACATACATTCTGTTTCCTTTTCTTGCCTTCTCCAGAGTAATTAGCTCTCTGATCTTGTCACTTTTACCTCTACCGGGTTTCACTTCCAGTGTATCCATAAGACAAATTCCATGCCCTCTAGGAGACTGTAACTATAGTTCAGGCTACTCTTCTCATCCATATTACCTTAGATTCTGTGATTATTCACCATACCTCCAGACTCTTCTCTTAATTCTAAGATAACCTTTCTAAAGCATAACTCTCATCAGATCACTTTCCTGCTAAAAACTCAACAATTCTTCATTGGCTACAAAATAGTCCCAGCTCGTTAACCTGGCATTCAAGGTCCTCTACAATCTACCAGTCTTAGACTATCTCTTCTGTTTTATTTACCACTGTCACCTTTTGCACTACAGTCTTGCCAGGCTTAACTAATTGAAGACTGTAGAGCTGTTACTTTCCCACCTCGGTGCCTCTGCTCATGGAGTTCCTTCAGCTAGAATGTCCATTCCTCTGTCATTTAAATTGCCATCAGTTACAAGTCAGAAAACTCCTGTTACACTAGTTTAAAGAAAAACCCTATGTATTTTCTCACTTATTAAGAAACCCTGATACAAAGCAGCTCCTAGATTGGTTCATTCAAAGACCTAGCAGACCCCTCTTCTCAATTCATTGGATCACTATTAGCTCACGTCCCCTTCTTATACACTGACTGAGGGCCTGCGTGCAATTACCATGATTGGTTTAGGTTAGACTAACCAGGACTGACTCGAGTCATTTCAGGGAGTGGTAGACACCAAAACAAAATCAGGGTTCTGCTGGTAATGAAAAGTGGGATTGGCGTGTGGGTAATCAGCTAATAGTTTCTGCCACATCTTTTTTTTTTTTTAATTAACATATAATGTATTACTTGTTTCAGGGGTACAGGTCTGTGATTCATCAGTCTTACACAATTCACAACGCTCACCATAGCACATACCCTCCCCAATGTCCCATCACCCAGCCACCCCATCCCTCCCACCCCGCTCCACTCCAGCAACCCTTGGTTTGTTGCCTGAGATTAAGAGTCTCTTATGGTTTGTCTCCCTCTCTGGTTTCATCTTGTTTCATTTTTCCCTCCCTTCCCCTATAAGCCTCTGTCTTGTTTCTCGAATTTCTCATATCAGTGAGATCATATGATAATTGTCTTTCTCTGATTGACTTATTTCGCTTAGCATAATACCCTCTAGTTCCATCCACATCGTTGCAAATTCTGCCATATCTTTTTATTTCTGCATGGTTAAACTTGATGTCTCTTTACAGGTCCAACTCAAATACCATCTCAACCATAAAGTCTTCCTTAATAGAAATTATCTTGCCTCTTCTAAACTCCAATAGCATTTTATTTATACTTCATAACTAAATTCTACATTAAGAATAAAATTATTTAGGTTCTAAGCTCCCCTAGTAGATCGTAAGCTCCTGAGGGCAGGAACTCTATCTAGATTCATCCTTGTATCTCTTACGGCCTGCACTGCTTTGCACCTGGTAGGAACTCGGTATATGTTGAGTAAACAAAAATCTGTAGAAGAAATACTCTCATTTTTTTTTTAAGATTTTATTTATTTATTTGACAGAAAGAGACAACAGCGAGAGAGGGAACACAAGCAGGGGGAGTGGGAGAGGGAGAAGCAGGCTCCCCGCCGAGCAGGGAGCCCGATGCGGGGCTCAATCACAGGACCCTGGGATCATGACCTGAGCCGAAGGCAGATGCTTAACGACTGAGCCACCCAGGAGCCCTGAAATACTCTCATTTTAAATGACTGGGATAGGTTGAAGTTTTCCTGGTTGATTAATACAGTATAATACCTAAATTTTATTATCTCTCCCTCTTTACCTCATAAAGTACTCAGTTCATATCGAAGAGGCTATTATAAATTGTAGAGAGCTGTGGGAATATGAATATCAGGTTTCTGATTCCTTGGTATTCTGTTGCTCCTCTTTGGCAAACATAGAATTAATGTTTAAGATGTTAATTTACTATTAGTCAAATTCTTTTCACCTCAGTATCTCTAGCCATTACATCTGTATGTGACTAAATATCTTCCCTAAGATTTTAAATAGAAAGGCACAAGTATTAAAGACATAGGCAGGGGCGCCTGGGCGGCTCTGTCAGTTAAGCAGCTGACTTTTGATTTCGGTTCAAGTTATGATCTCAGGGGTCATGGGATCAAGCCCTGCGTCGGGCTCTGTGCTGACAGAGTCTGCTTGAGATTCTCTCTCTCCCTCAATAGGCAATCAGAGTTCTCATTTGTGTAATTTTTCTTGATTTTAGATTTAAAGAAATGTTTTATTTGCATTCCATAGGTTCTTATTGAAAGAATTTTTGAGAAGTCAGTGTCAACATTAGAAAAAAAAATTGAAATCCTATATGAAAAACTGATTGAGAGGAAATTTCATATTTCTTAATCCTAAGCACCTAAACAATTGTACTATAACCTTCTGTATTTACAAAAAGACCTTATCTTGACTGTCATCTGCTATCACGATTATCCTCAAACAATATTTAATTTATTATAAAAATAATCTAAATGATGTTTAAATGAAATATTTTGTGGGAATAATATTAGAAAAATTAATGGGTTAATTAAAATTATGGACTAAGATGGCTATTAAGAAACTTCATAAATTGTATTATTTTCATCCATCTTGTTACTTAGACCAAAACCTTGGCGCCAGCCATCCTTGTCTTCTCTTTTTCTCTCCTATCCCACAGTCAATCCATAAGTGAATCCTGACAGGTTTCTCCTCAAAATATATTCAGAATCTGGCCAGTTTTCACCATCTCACTACTACCACCCAATTTTTAGTGACCATCATCTCTCACAAGGCTTATGCTAATAACCCCCTAACTGGTCTCCCTGCTTCTGCCCTTGCCCCCATTATTCTGTCTAGGCTCAGCACAAAAACCAGTCTGTTCCACTTATAATCTGAAATGAAATCAAATCATATTAGTCCTTGGCTCAGAACTTTCCAATGACTTCCCATGCACTTGTAATAAAAGCCAAAGTTATTACTATGATTAGCGAAGTCCTATACATTCTGTCTCCACCTCATCCCCCTAACCTTATCTTCTACTACTCTCATTCCCTCTCTCATTTAGTCCAACCACCCTGCGCTCCTTGCTGGACTCCTTGTGCTCCTCACCAGGTGCACTTCTGCCTAACAGCCTTCACACTTCCTATTCTTCCAACCTGGAATGATCTCTCCCCCATATGTCAAAATGACCCATTCCTGCTCCTTTTCCAGTTCTTAAATATCACCTTCTCTGTGACACTTTCCCTACAACCCTTCAGTATATCCTCTTCTCTGTTTAATCTTCTCCATAACACTTATTTCCATTTCACCTAATCTATATTTTGTCTCTCCTACCTATAGTGTAACCTCCATGAGGGCAGGGATTTTCATTTTATACATAGTAGGTCACCAGTGCCTAGAGCGGTGCACACAGTACATAGTTACATGTATAATATCCATATAATGGGTACTCAGTAAATATTTGTTGCATGAATCCTATGATTATAGTAGCTTCGTTTGATAAACCTTGCTATTAAATACCAAGTTTATAGGAATTATTCCCTTATTTCTTCCAAACTGTGCAGTTCCAAAGGAAGATTCGTCTAGTTTCCTCAGCTCTGAAAGTCTGTTGTATAAGCCTCTATAAATTCCTATCACCTTTAATTCTATATATTTGTCTTCTTTCTCACATATAATCTTTTATTACAAAGAATCTTACATATATGCATATGGATTTTACCTTCCCAAAATGTAATCAGTTTTAGAGATTGTTCCTCCATTTTCACAGTATGGAATCTGATTCATACTTGATTCTTAGTTTTTTCTCACTGCCTTCTCAAATAATAAAGTTAATAAACATTAGTTACAACTATTATTATTTTCATTCCAAATCGAAATGTTGATATAGTTTTTTTAATGCGTAACCTATCTACTTCACCTTCCCATGTGCCCAGTTCCATCAACACATTTCAAAACCTACTTTGTGTACACTTTTAAGGCCTTCTCTCCCTCTTCCTCATTCATTTCTTTGTAAATGTTTTCTGATTTTGTTTGTTCTGTTAACTTTGATAGGTATTTAGTAGATTTCATTGCTTCTGTTCCCACAGTCTTCCATACCATCCCCTGTGCTAAAAAAGTCTTTCACATCACTAGTCTGTCACTGATTACTTCAGGTTCTTCCAAGAACAGTACCCTCTCAACCTACTCACTTTGGTCACTTCAAAAGAAAATATATGCCCCAATCTAGGACTCCCTAAGTTTTATGAAAGCAATATTATCTCTCCTTACCTCTTACCTCATGCTTGCCCCAAATATCTCCTTGCATTAAGAATGTAAGCTCCAGGGATGCCTAGGTGGCTCAGTTGGTTAAGTGTCTGTCTTCGGTTCAGGTCATGATCCTAGGGGCCTGGGATCAAGTCCTGCATTGGGCTCCTTGCTCAGCGGGGAGCCTGCTTCTCCCTCTCCCTCTGCCATTTCCCTGGCTTGTGGCTGTCTGGCTCTCTCTATCTCTCTGTCAAATAAATACAATCTTTAAAAAAAAAAAAAAAAAAGAATGTAAGCTCAAGTGAGGAGAGGTACAATCTGTAGGCCACTGGTTCCACTTCATAGTAAATGAATTTTTTGCCTAAAAATGGGGGGAGGGCTTGCCAAAATGCAAAATAGCCTCCTGGGAAGAATTCAACCACTTTTTGTTAGGATTTACTCTAATGTAAGTTTCTTGCTTTAGTTTGGAAATTTTGGTATAAAATAGAACTTAAGATAATCAAGGAAACAATCAGTTGTTTCAGTTATAGTAGAATGGCATGTGGGTATTGGATTCAAATAAATCTTTTAGTTAAATTCTTTAAGAAATTAAAAAGAATTGTCAATACTGATCTCTAAAATTCATTTTTTAGGTCGGGGAAAGTTGTCTCACCTCATCAACTCTAAACAGGGTGAAGCCTAATCAACCCTACAGGGTTATTTTGAGTATCAAATGAGATAAATGTGTGCAAGTACTTTGAACTCCACTTCATTTGTTCAGACTCTTTCTCTCTTGTTAGGTAATTTGCAAACCTTGAAAACTTTTATTTGTTCGCCCTTTTTGGGAAAAATTGATCAGAGAATGGGGATGGGTGAAATAGGTGAGAGAGATTAAGAAGGACACTTGTGGTGAGTGTTGTATGTACTAAATTCTACGCCTGAAACGTATTTCACTGTATGTTAACTGACTGGAATTTAAATAAAAACTTTTAAAAAAATGGCCAGAGAAATTATGAACTTTTTTTTTTTTGTATTTTTAGATTAACAAAAGTACTGGCATTGTAGAAGCATCACGGATCATGAATTTGTACCAGTTTATTCAGCTTTATAAAGACATCACAAGTCAAGCATCAGGAGTATTGGCCCAAAGCTCCACCTCTGAAGACCCTGATGAAAACTCATCATCTGTAACATCTTGTCAGGCTAGTCTTTGGATGGGAAGGTATATAATGCATAAGTACCATATTTCTCTTGTTTTCTAATATACAAGCTACTGAAATCTCAGTAATACTTTTGCTGGTGCCCTTGTGATGTCTTAAATCACATTACCTTTTATTTCAGTTGCTGTTGTATCCCAGATCAGCTTTTGGATTATTCTGTGCCTCAGGACGTTGTTAGAGTGCTAAATTAAAGAAAAATTAAAGTTGCTCACACCAGCTAATGTTTCTCTCAACCCAGTTTCCATGAATGCACTGTCCACTCTACATGCTTGCATTTAATGGCAAAGGATATTAATATCTTTCTTATAACAGGTATTTATGTTATTAGACAATCAAAGCCCTTCAGGGAATTAGGTCTAAAAATCTGGCAAAATCATTCCAGTTTTCCTTTAAAATATCTGACTAATTGGAGCATTAAAAATTATAAATATTGGCTCTAGGACTTGGCAGTCTATTCAGGAATGAACAAGTAGTTGGTGCACATACTGCATATACTGAGTTACCAGAAGGAAATGAAGTCAGCCAGAGTTTTCTTTGATGGCACTTGTTTACTCAAGCCTAATATATTATTGTTCTATCTAAACTTTTCCTTCTCTGTAATGCTCTTGGCATGTGGAAGCTTCCACCTGTTGCCATTTGACAACCATGACCATAATTTAAATTTGTAAATACCTCATTGGAAAAAGTCTTACGTGGGTCCGGACATGTTGACATCCTGTCTTATTGTCATACTGAATGGACAGCAAAAATCTGTATTGACAGTATTTTTTACCTTAAAATTAAGAATATGCTTAGCAAGAATTTCTCTTTTATTGCTTGATTTATAGTTGCATTTTCTGGTCCATTCTTAACCAACTGAGCCACCCAGGCGCCCTTCTGGTCCATTCTTAACCAACTGGTTTCCAATACTATACTGTAATAAATTTGTATCTCCATTTATCATTTTCTGTTTATCTTTATAGGATTGTTTAGTTTTCTAGGTTTGGGCTGTACAAGTGGTACTGAAATGCCAAGTGAGTTTTAGAACATGATAGGCAGTGTTTAGGCTTTTCTTTTCTGTATTTTGTAAAGTTAATCTTTCATAAACAGGTGTCTGATTTTCTGCTTTTCTTCCTCTCCCTCTTTGGAATGGTAGTTTTTTCGTTGTTGTTGTTTTGTCTTGTTTAAGTATCTTGAAAGCTGAGAATAGGATTTACCAGGATGTTTAAACTCTGTGGTAGCAGATGAAATGAAAGTAATACTTTCTTCTTGTTTCAGTCATCTCAATGAAAGAGGTAAGGGTGTTATCCCTGGAAGCTCAATGCCTGATTGGTAGGTTAGGGCTGCTTCTTGCCTTTGTATGTTTTTTCGTTTTTTGGTTTGGACACTCTAGTTCATAGAAAAACAGACTTTTCAAGTTGAAGGGGATTTTAAGAGATATTTATTTGGATTAGTCTTATATCTGATGTATATTTTTATTAGTGGTTTACATTTATTGAGTACTTGTAGTGTATTAGGCATTTTGATAAGTGCTTTACATGTATAAACTCATTAAGTCCTCACAACAACCCCATGGGGATATAATTACTGGTCCATTTCAGATAAACCGAGGTTTAGACAAATAAATGACATTGCTAGAAATTAGCCTAGCTGAGAGTCACATTCAGAGCAGGCTGACAATACAACCATGCCCCTAACCTCTGCATTATTACTCTCTTATGTGTAAAGATCTGTGGACTACAGTGCTTCTTAAACTTTATATTCAGTGGTTTTGAGGAGGAGCTTGAGAGTCCATCAAGCTCCCACATGGTGTCACTGCTGCTAATCCACCAATAACACTTTGAGTAGTAAGACTCTTGCCACATTTCCAGCTTGTACTTGAACACCTGACGTATGTGGGACTCACTGCCTCAGACACAAGCCTTTTCTTACACAGATGGCTCTAATCACTGTGAAATTTTCCCTTTTGCATTATATTCCTCAGAATAGCCAAAATCTGATTTTCTTAAGGCAACATAGCACAGACTCTAGAACCAAATTGCCTGTGTTCAAATCCTGGCTCGACTGCTAACTGTGTGACTTTGGACAAGTTATTAAACTCTTTTTCCTCTGTTTCCTCATTTTTTTAAGAGAGGATGATAACAATAGTATCTGCTTCATAGGATTCTTGAGAGAGTTAAGTGAGTCGATATATGTAAAATGCTTACAACAGTGCCTGGCATGTAAGAGTTCACCGTCATTATTTTTAAGTTACTACTGTATTCTACTTATTTCAGTGGCAGTGCCCTCTGGATCCCACCAAACAAATCTGTTCTCTCTTCAGCCCTTCAAATATTTGAAAACATTAATCAAATTCTCACTGGTCCTCTGTTCTGCAGGATGAGCATCCCCAGTTCCTTTGGCTTTTGTTACATGGGTCTCTTTTATATCCCCGAGGCTTTCCTGGAAAATCCTTTATCTGTCAGTATATCTTTCAGGGAGGGGGCATAGAACTGACTACTCCATTCTACAAGTGGTCTAACAAGGACGACTAGAGCAAGACCCTTTCTCCTTCCTTCTTGTTACTGTAATGCTAGGAAGGTAGCAAAAAATCAAGTGAACATTGTACGGTTTCCACTGGCTGCTTCTGTGTTTCCTGTTCTTTTACTTCTTTCCAGAGCAGTGCTCTTCTTCATAGCCCTCTAACCTTCAGAACACGTCCCTCTTTATGGATTCAGTTATAGTCTCTGCTACTGACAGGTAAGTCCAAATCCTTAGACATAAACTGTAAGCTGCTCAAAAGCAGAGACCCCAGTTCATCTGGGTCTGGCACAGAATGTAGCACCTGAGAGACGCTTAAACATTGAACTGAATACATCTAGAAAATGAGATGCGTGTCCATCTAGGTTTTCATTCAGTTTCCCCAGTTCGATTCAGTGGCTGCCTTCTTTTGCCCATAGGTTTAACCTATTACCACATCCTGACCGTTTGTCTTTTGTAATGTCCCTTTACCGGGCCCTGATTATCTCCCAGGTGAATTGCTGAAGTAAGGATTTGATTGGTTTTCCTCCCTCTAGAATGTCCCATACTGCACTTCCAATTAGTCTTCCTAGAATATTATTTCAGTGGGGGTTCACTTTTCTTTTGATCAAACTCTGATTCTAGTTTGCCTATCAGAATAAGTTTAAAACATCATATTTTGACATTCAAGGATCAGATTATCTCTGCTATATTTAAGCAACCTTTTCTCTCAGTTTTCTCCCTGGAGCATCATGCGACCTTCTTGTTACACACACACTCCAGAGGTATTTTTTTTCCTACCTCCACAACTTTGTTTATTCACCTAGAATGTCCTCTGTCTGTCAAAGTTATGTCAGTTTTCAACCTTATCTTTCCAACAAATTTGAAATACTCATTTGTTCCTTCTTAGCACTTACTACTTGCATATTTGACATTTGTTTATATTCTTTTTTATATTCAAATTGACAAATTTTAAAGTGGTATTTCAATGTCTTGTATATAGTAGTATAAGCACAGCAGGGAATAAAAACATGTCAGAGATATACCTCCCGCCTTTAAGAAGTTTATAGTCTAGTGGCTATACCTTGAAACATTTTGTTTTTGCATAATTATGAAAGTAATACATGCTTAATGAAGAAAACCTAAAAATTGTAGAATAGCATGAAGGATAAAAGCAAATTAAAATCACTTTAAGAAACATTTATTGAGAATCTAAGACAAACAGCCTGTATTCAAAGAACTTAGAGTTTGTAGGTAGACCAACCAATCAGCAGCCAATTAAAATGCAATATTTAAGTCCTTTAATTGAGGCAGAGAGAAGATATTTTGAGCTGAGTTACTGAGGTTAGGGTTTACCAGACTCATAAGGATATTCCAGGAAAGGAAAATACCACATGCAAAGGCACTTGATTCACTCAGGGGCACTCTACACTGAGGCTGGAGTAGAAGGTTCAACATCTCTTCCCAAGATGAAAGAGCTCCTTAAGGACAGAGAAGGACAGGAAGCAAACTTCCTACCTTTTGTATTTCCTGTAGCACCTGATTATTAAGACTAAGTTATGCTTTCATTTATATGCCCATTATCAGCATCAGCATGGTACGGTCCAAGGGCAAGGTCCATATTTTGGAGAGCTTTGTATCCTGCATGACAAGTAAATCTTCTAACAGTTGAATTCATTTATATAAATGTGATATGATTAAAATCAGCTATTATTTTCAGAAAGATCTGAGTATTTTCAGTTTTTGTTTGTATATTCTTTTTAATCTTCACAGTATTTATCTACTGTCCAGTTTTTCTTTATGGAATTTGTCCCTCTGCGTACTTCTTCCTTAAATATATTTGTTATCCCTAAGATTTAGTCTGATTTTGCATGCAAGTCATGTTTTGCTTTATACTGAGGGTATATAGATGTTTGATAATGCTTTCTAAGGCAACAGAGACAAAGATTAAAGCATAATGACAACAGAGAGTATTTATGTTCCAGCTCAGTTTTCACATTGCAGGGTGAAGCAGCTGACTGACGAGGAGGAGTGTTGTATCTGTATGGATGGTCGAGCTGACCTCATCCTGCCTTGTGCTCACAGCTTTTGTCAGAAATGCATTGATAAATGGTAAGTTATCTGCTACCCTCATGGGACAGGCAAAGGTCAAACGGGAAAGTGTATATGAATAAACTCCAAAACATACAAAAATATTGTAGTTAAAAGTATAAGAAATTTTGTTCTTTAGTACTTTGAATTGTACGACATGCTTCCTCCTCTGGTTAAAAATATTTTTATATTTAAAGTTTATAAAATGTGGCAATGTGTCTTAGTTTTGGCAGTTTACTTTTTTGTGCCTGACTTGAGTCTAGAATCACAAGCTTCCCTTCTTCATTTTTCTCCTTATTTCTATATTTTTCCTCTATATGACTAAAAGGAATAATATGAATCCTTGAATATTGATTATTGGACCTGGAGGGAACTTTAGAGATCAGCTAGTCAAGTTCATTATTTTACAAAATAAGAATGAAGCATTTAGGTGAATTTATAATTAACATACAATAAACTACATATATTTAAAGTACAATTTGATATGTTTTGACACCTGTACACCCATAAAAAAATTACAATCCAGATAATGAACAAATTCATCACCCCAAAAGTTACTTTGTGCCCCACTGTAAAGTCTCCTTTCCAACCCTTCCAGTCCCCAGATAACAACTAATCTTTCAGTCACTATAAAATAATTTGGATTTTCTAGAATTTTTATAAATGAAATATACAGCATGTGCTCTTTTTTTCATTCAGTACAATTATTTTGAGATTTATCCATATTGTAGCATGTTATCAGTAGTTCCCCTTTTTTTAAAGATTTTATTTATTTATTTTTAGAGAGAGATAGCGAGCATGAGCGGGAGGAGGGGCAGAGGCAGAGGAAGAGGGAGAAGGAGAGAATCCTGATCCCACGACCCTGAGATCATGACCCAAGCCGAAATCAAAAGTTGGATGCTCAACCAACTAAGCCACCCAGGTGCCCTACAGTAGTTCCCTTTTTTGTTGCTGAGTAGTATTCATTGTATGATATACCACAGTTTATTTATCTAGTCACCTGTTATGGACATTGGGTTGTTTCCAATTTTTGGCTATTACAAATGAAGCTGCTATATACATTTGTGGACTGGTCTTTTTATGGACATATATTTTGTTTTTTTCTTAAATACCTAGAGGTAGAATATCAAAATCATATGGTGGGTATATGTTTAACTTTTTAAGAAACTGCCAACTGTTTTCCAAAGTGGTTGTACCATTTTGCACTCCCACCAGCAGTGTATGAGAGTTCTAATTGCTCCACAATCTTGCCAATACTTAGTAGTGTCGGTCTTTTTTTTTTTTTTTTTTAATTTTAATTCCAGCTCCAGTGTAGTTAGCATCAGTGTTAGTTTCAGATGCAAAATATAGCAGTTCAACAGTTTCATATACTACTCGGTGCTCATCAAGATAAGTTACTCTTAATCCCCTTAACCCCTCCCCCCACCCACCTCTTCTCTGGTAAGTATGGTCAGTCCTTTTAATTTTAGCCATTCTAATAGATGTGTAGTGCTTTCTCATTGTATTTATAGTTTGTATTTCCCTACTGACTGATGATGTTGAGCATCTTCTTATATGCTAAATCTGTATGTCTTCTTTGATGAAGTGTCCATTCACATCTTTTGCCCATTTCTTTATTGGGTTGTTTTCATATTAAGTTTTAGAATTCTTTCTATATTATGAATACATGTCCTTTATCAGATATTTGACTGGCAGATATATTCTCCCACTTTGTGATTTGTCTTTTCATTCTCTTAAGAATGTCTTTGAAAGAGTAGAAGTTTTTAATTTTGATGAGGTACAGTTTATCAGTTTGTGATTTATGCATAGTGATTTATCTAAGAAATCTGTCTAACCCAAGGTCACAAGGATTTTCTTCTATTCTTTGGGAAGTTTGATAGTTTTAGGTTTTACATTTAGGTCTATGATCCATTTTGAGTTAATTTTTTGTATATAGCATGAGGTACCAATTAAAATTATTTTTTTGCCTATGGCTACCCGGTTGCTCCAGCATATTTTGTTGGAAAGACTATCTTTTCTTCACTAAATTGCCCCTTCACCTTTATTGGAAATCAGTTGTTGAAATACACGTAGGTCTGTTTCTGGACTCTTTTCTGTTCCATTGATCTGTTTATTTCATACCAATACCACACTACCTTGATTACTGTAGCTTTCTGAGTCTGAGTCTTAAAATCAGGGAGTGTTCTCAAACTTTGTTCTTTGTCAAAGTTGTTTTTGGCTATTCTAATTCTTTTGCATTTCAAAGTGAGTTTTAGAATCAGTTTGTCAATTTCCACAAAAAAAGCTGTAAGGATTTTGGTTGGAATTGCATGAATTAAATAGATCGATTTGGAGAGTGCTGACTTCTTAACAATAATTGGGTCTTCCAGTTCACAAACACAATATACATCTCCATTTATTTAGGTCTTCTTGCATTTCTCTCATCATTTTTTGTAGTTTTCAGTATTGCATATCTTTGACAGATTTATCCCTAATTATTTTGAATTTTATACTATTTTAAATATACTTTTTATTTCAATTTCTGATCATTTGTTGCTAGTATTAAGAAATACATTAGACTTTTGTGTATCAATCTTGTATTCTACAAACTTTTACTAAACCCATTTACTAGTTCTGACAGCTTTTTTGTAGATTCCATAGGACTTTCTTGAATGTCTAAACATCCTTTTTCAAAGATATTTTTTCTGGATATAGAATTCTAGACTGATACTAGTTTTTCTTTCAGTGCTTTAATGATGTTGCTCCACCCTCATTTTTCTTGCCTTGTTTCCCATGAGAAATATGCTATCACGTTTATCTTTTTTCCTCTGTAAGTAATGTTCTCCTTTTTGTTTCTTTTTAAGATTTTATTTGTTTGAGAGAGAGAAATCATGGGGCTGAGGGGGGAGGGAGAGGGACAAGCAGACTCCCTGCTGAGTGCAGAGCCCAACTTAGGGCTCAGTCCCAGGACCCTGAGATCATGATCTGAGCTGAAACTAAGAATCAGAGGCTTAACCGATTGAGCCACCCACGCACCCCTGGTAATGTTGCCTTTTTTCCTCTGGCTGCTTTTAAGGGGTTTTTCTTTATCATTGATTTTGAGCAGTTTATTTTATTTTTTTTTTTTTAAAGATTTTATTTATTTATTCATGAGAGACAGAGGAGGAGAGAGAGAGAGGGAGAGAGAGAGAGAGAGAGAGAAGCAGACTCCCAA